CCCTAAGTTTAACTTTATTATTATATATTAGCTAGCTTTATAGAATATAAAGGCTAATACCTTATCTTATTATAAGATAGATATACTAGTACATATAAATAATAACTATTAGATACTAATGTAATCCACTACTGAGCTGGTCATACCACCAAGCTGGTCAGCCCCAACACCAACACCGAGTTTTTGACTATTATTACCACCACCACCCACCACCACCTAATGGCCGATATATCTAGGGAGGAACATCTTCAATTGGCCCTTCAGGCCTATAAAAAGGGCCCTTTCTATCAATCCAAAAGGCTGCAGATGCATTTGACATGCCTAAAAGTACCTTAATAACATGTATCAGTGGGACTACTTCTTACAAAGATGCAATCACCAGTTGTCGAAAATTGACAGACACTAAAGAGAATACACTTTCAACATGGATTCTGGATATGGACCAATGTGGTTTACCTCCGCGAATATCAACTGTATGCTATCTGGCATAGTTATTGCTATCTACCCGGCTATCATCCTCCCAAAGAGCCTTCATTGGTGAGAACTGCGTAACCCAGTATATCAAGTGCCACAATGAACTTTGCTCTAAATACAGCCAAAAGTATGATTACCACCAAGCTAAATGTGAAGATCCAGAGCTGATCAAGGGGTGGTTCAACCGGTTCTATGATACTAGTCAAAATTATGGAATCCTTACACAAGATATCTACAACATGGATGAGACTGGCTTCCAAATGCATGTGATTTCAACTGCCAAAGTTGTCTGTGGATCAGAAACATGACAGAGTCATGCAAGAGCTATACAACCTGCGAATCGTGAATGGGTGACTGCAATTATTGCAGTAAATGCAGCTGGATGGGCCTTACCTCCCCAGATGATTCTTGCGCCAGAAAATCACCAATCTTGTTGCGGGCTAAGCCCATATTGCTGACTCAGCTTCGCTCTCGTCTTCTGATTGGTCTATTTGTTGTTTATCACATGACTCCTGTTGATACAGCTCGCGTGCCTTTCTCTTCCTTTCTTCCTTCCCCAGCGAATCCTTTTTATGAGCTCCTAGTTTCTAGACAGCAAGGCTTTGGCCCTTCACATTAGGATTCGCTCGTCTATCTCCTCATTGGTCTCACTGGTTTCATCGGAAGCTGTATTGGCAGCTACTCATCGGTTCGAGGGTAAGCCGTATCGACGGCCTCTGCCCCATTAGTTCATCGGGACTGCTCCAGCAGTCATTCTCATCGGTTCATAGGACTACCACGGCAGTGATTCTCATCGGTTTATCGGCAGGTTGCATAGGCAGCCCTGGTGCTTCATTGGGATCACCTTTTGGT